TAGTGAGACTATTATGATATTTAGATAGTTAGTGAGACTGTAAGATGATAGTAAGTGAGACTGTTAAGATGTTTAGATAGTTAGTGAGACTGTAAGATGTTTAGATAGTTAGTGAGACTATTAAGATGTTTAGATAGTTAGTGAGACTGTTAAGATGTTTAGACAGTTAGTGAGACTGTAAGATGTTTAGATAGTTAGTGAAGCTATTAAGATGTTTAGATAGTTAGTCAGACTGTTAAAAAGTTAAGACAGTTAGTGAGACTGTAAGATGTTTAGATATTTAGTGAGACTGTAAGATGTTTTGATAGTTAGTGAGACTATTAGGATGTTTAGATAGTTAGTGAGACTATTAAGATGTTTGGAGAGTTAGTGAGACTGTTAAGATGTTTAGATAGTGAGACTGTTAAGATGTTTAGAAAGTGAGACTGTTAAGCTGTTTAGATAGTTAGTGAGACTGTTAGGATGTTAAGATAGTGAGACTGTTAAGATGTTTAGATAGTTAGTGAGACTGTAAGATGTTTAGAGAGTTAGTGAGACTGTTAAGATGTTTAGATAGTTAGTGAGACTGATAAGATGTTTAGATAGTTAGTGAAACAATTAAGATGTTTAGATAGTGAGACTGTAATATGTTTAGATAGTTAGTGAGACTATTTAGATGTTTAGATAGTGAGACTGTAAGATGTTTAGACAGTTAGTGACTCTGTTAAGATGTTTAGATAGTGAGACTGTTAAGATGTTTAGATAGTTAGTGAGACTGTTAAGATGTTTAGATAGTGTGACTGTTAGGCTGTTTAGATAGTTAGTGAGACTGTTAAGATGTTTAGAGAGTTAGTGAGACTGTTAAGATTTTTAGATAGTTAGTGAAACAATTAAGATATTTAGATAGTGAGACTGTAAGATGTTTAGAGAGTTAGTGAGACTATTAAGATGTTTAGATAGTTAGTGCGACTGTAAGATGTTTAGATAGTTAGTGAGACTATTTAGATGTTAAGATAGTGAGACTGTAAGATTTTTAGACAGTTAGTGAGACTGTTTAGATCTTTAGATAGTGAGACTGTTAGGATGTTTAGATAGTTAGTGAGACTGTTAAGATGTTTAGATAGTTAGTGAGACTGTTAGGATGTTTAGATAGTTAGTGAGACTGTTAAGATATTTAGATAGTTAGTGAGCCTGTAAGATGTTTAGATAGTTAGTGTGACTGTTAGGATGTTTAGATACTTCAGCAGCTGACATGAGAAGTAGTTAAGAAGGAATATCTTTAGAGCAGTGATTCCCAAAATGTGCGCCGCGGCGCCCCAAGGACCCGCGACCTCTTCACACTAGCCCCACGAAATATTCAAAGATATGCCAGTTTTTTTTCTTTTCTTACATTCGAATAGTCATACTTTTTCTTTAGTTAGGGCGCCGTAGAAAGTTGTTAGTTGAAAAAAAAGTCGCTGCGACTAAGAAATATTTGGGAAACACGGTTTTAGAGCATTTATTTTCGCAAACTGATGTTAGAGGGGATAAATCACATGTACAGTTCGGCATTGTGGTTTTTAACTGTAATATATCAGCTTCAAAGAGATTACTAAAATCATAGGATGTTATATTAGATGTCAGCAAACGCGTTGAAGTACCTTTACTTGTCAGTGCATTAATTGCTTTACATACAACTTTGCTTTTTTTTTTTTTTTACCTATTACCTTTTTGAAAAAGTTTTTCATATTTTTGCAAATGGCATACTTGGCATACGACCTGACCCCGATATGTGATTAACTCCATATTTGTGTGTGTGTACGTCCATGCGTGCGTGTGCCCGCGTGCGCCATACCTCGCTCTCCTATAATTTCAACTGCTTTCTGGGTAATCCATGGAGAGTTAGATATTGGACTCGGGACTCCTCAACTGGCACATGCTTATCAAGCACGAAAGTGAAAGTCTTCAGCCAATATTCCACGTCATCTGGATCAGGGAGTTGATAAACATGGCCAAGAGGTGAACTGAGTAAGTCTTGTCGAAATGGTTCTAGCTTCCAAATTTAAAACTGATGTGTTTTTGTTTGATAAATTGTGCTTCCATATTATTCCACACGCAAATTACCGGGTAATGATCGCTCATTGATGGATGATTAGACAGACAGACAGGATGGCACACAAATAGATAGGCAGATAGAGAAACATTTTAGGCAGCGAGATAGACATATTGGTAAAGGGGTTAGGTAGAAAGGTGAGCACATTAGTTATATAGATGAGCATGTTAGGTAGATAGTCGAGAAGGTTTGGTAAAAAGGCGAGAAGGTTAAGTATATAGGCGAGAACATTAGCTAGATAGTAGAGAAAGGTGAGAGACTTAAGTAGATAGTAGATAGGTAAGAAAGCTAATTAGACAGGTAAGAAAGTTAGGTAGGTAGGTAAGAAAGTTAAGTAGATAGGTGAGAAAGTTAAGTAGATAGGTATGAATGTTAGGTAGATAGGTAAGAAAGTTAAATAGGTAGGTAAGAAAGCTAAGCAGAAAGGTAGAAAAGTTAGGTAAGAAAGTTAAGTTCATAGGTAAGAAAATTAATTAGATAGGTAAGAAAGTTAAGTAGATAGGCAAGAAAGTTAAGTAGATAGAAAAGAAAGTTAGGTAGATAGATAAGAAAGTTAGGTAGATAGATAAGAAAGTTAAGTAGATAGGTAAGAATGCTAAGTAGACAGGTAAAAAAGTTAGGTAGGTAGGTAAGAAAGTTAAGCAGATAGGTAGAAAAGTTAGGTAGACATGTAAGAAAGTTAAACAGATAGATAAGAAAGTTAAGTAGATAGGTAAGAATGCTAAGTAGATAGGTAAGAATGTTAAGTAGATAGGTAAAAAAGTTAAGTAGACAGGTAAAAAAAGTTAAGTAGGTAAGTAAGAAAGTTAAGCAGATAGGTAAGAAAATTAGGTAGAAATCTAGGAAAACTAAGTAGATATGTGAAAATATAGAACCCGTTCCAAGTGCCAGGAACATCGGACAACCTCATGCAGTCACATGAACAAACATAAATGACTACCTGAGTGCAGACAGGTGTACATTCAGGTTTAGCATCTTTTATTACTACATTAGCACATATATCATAATCATCATTTAAACAGTCATCAGTAGACAAAAGCTATTAGATGTTAAACAGCACACATAAAACATAGATCAAGCTCAGTCGACTTGGACCAAGCTGATACTATATATATATAAAACACACTATTAACAGTGACACAATAATTAGTTTAGACATCTAACAACTGTTGGACAAAGCTTTCATAAGTATTGTAATACTCCTATGAAATCTGTCTGTTCTTGTCACATGTAACTGAATGCATTTGCTTCATAAATGATAAACATTTTCAAACTTTTGCTACGGACAGTTACTATCATAACCATTATTCCCCCCCCCTCCCCCTCCTCATCACCCTGATAACCATAATCATCAGCAGCTAAAACATCACCCTATCATGCCGTTATTCTTCACATAAAGATCACAAGTCTTGTCCTCCATTCCATTCCATTCTGTACAATCCTTTCGAGATCATGGATTGAACCCAGCCCAGTACCCACAATCCCTTTCATTAAAGTTCATCCAATGGTCTCTCTTGGATGTCCTCGTTTCACAGATTCGTTTGGATCTTATTTCAGTGCCTTTTTAGTGATAAACTATCCACGTCTCCTCACAAGGTATATAATGTATAACCCTCTTCCTTTTTTATATCTTTTGGAACCTATTCCTGTTGGCCGGAGTCATCTGCCAGTGGGGTGAAAATGTCAAAGCCCACTAGTCCTGCTAATAACCACCACATCGCCAACATCCTGTACATTTATTACTTAACTCCTTAAGGTGATAAATGTTTAGGACAAAAGGATTTAAGCTGATACATGTTTAGGACAGGAGGATTGCAGGTGATATTTAGAACAGAAGGATTTAGGCTGATACATGTTCAGAACAGGCGAGTTTAAGGTCATACATGTTAAGAACAGAAGGATTTAAGGTGTCACATGTTTAGAACAGAAGGATTTAACGTGTCACATGTTTAGAACAGAAGGATTTAACGTGTCACATTAGAACAGAAGGATTTAACGTGTCACATATTTAGAACAGTAGAATTTAAGGTGTCATATGTTTATAACAGAAGGATTTACCGTGTCACATGTTTAGAACAGAAGAGTTCAAGGTGTCATATGTTTAGAACAGAAGGATTTAACGTGGCACATGTTTAGAACAGAAGAATTTAAGGTGATACATGTTTACAACAGAATGATTTAAGGTGTCACATGTTTTAGAACATAATGATTGAAGGTGATACATGCTTTTTTTTTTTTTTAAACAGAACATAGCCGTCTTAACAGCATTATGCGCCTCTGGACAAACCAGTGCGCTGGGTCCCCTATGACAACAACTAACAGCAAACAAATTAACGGCAAGTCACTTGACATACGCCATATTATCATCATCAAGCTCCCTGTAATTTGTGGTGCTCCCTGGCAAGTTTCCATACCTTAAGACAGCCCTGGGACAGAAGGATTTTTGCTATTAAACGTATAAGACAGAAGATTTAACGTGATAAATTTATGGCACATACGGATCGAAGGTAATCATTGTATAGAACCGAAGGATTTAGGGTGATAAATATACAGGACGTATTTATTTGAGATAAAAAATGTGATGAATGTACAGAACCTAAGTGATTAAGTTACTTTAAAAGAAGAGAAAGTATTCAGTTAACTGTATAGCGCAGAAAGAGTTCAGTTAACAATTTCACAAGGCAGATGGCGTAAAGTTAGCAACTGTAAGCATACGAAAGAATTAAGCTAACAGTTGCAGAAAGGGGGGGGGGGGGGGGGGGGAGTTAACTTAGTAGGTGTATGTAAAAGAGTCAAAACCGTCTCGACAAATGATAAAATCCTGCCTGCCATCAAATTAGTTTGATCAGGTATCTTGTTTCTCGATTAAACCAAATCATAGGAATACTTTGGAATCAACTGTAGCGATGACGTAACACGGCAGCAGAGGTCACATGACCATTGTCTCTCTCATCACGTGAGTAATGTACCGGAAGAGGTCGTCCCAGGCTTGCTCCACTTCCGGCGTCCATTTGTCGCCCAAGGGTGGTTTGATGGCGTTATTGTACTCAGGGCCAATCAGCTAGAGAAGAGAAATAAATAAAAAAAATTAAATGTTTGTAACTCAAAATCGATATTTATCATTATCTGTTAAGTATTACTTTACACATAGTTAACAAATGCTTTGCTGAATGGCATGTGCAGTCGGGTGGCCTTACACATGTTTTTCTCTAGCTGGTAAAGAAAAAGCAATGTCCGCGTCGTGTGGTGTATGGGATTATATACTGTCGTTTACTTCCTATGCCTAGGACCCTTTATCGGCTAGGTCGACCTGGGAGCCAAGGTCATATTTCTTTAATTCGCCAGAACGGATCGAACACAAGACCTTCGAACTGGTAAGCGAGCGTTTAGCTGCTATACTACCCTGTAGGAACTGAACAAGATAAAGTAGGGATAATTCCGAAACATCTTTTTCATTTGCACCACTGTTTATGCCGTAAAGCGTTGTAGAGAGGAGTTAAATATAGTTTCTTGTATTTTGTCTTACTGTTTATGCTGTAAAGTGTTGTTGAGAGGAGTTAGATATAGTTTCTTGTCTTTTGTCCGACTGTTTATGCCGTAAAGCGTTGTAGAAAGGTGTTGGGTGTCGTTTCTTGTCTTTTGTCCTACCGTTTACGCCGAAAAACGTCGCAAAGAAGAGATAGATGTAGTTTCCTGTCTTTTTCTAGCTTCATAGCTTATAACAATGTCATTTTACGTTTCTGTAGTGTCTCTTTTACTCCCGCCACCCATCCCTTTCTTGGTCTGCCTCTTGCCTTGTTAGCTGCTGTTTTCATGTAATACGCTCTTGCTGCTGGACGATCTTGTTGCATTCTGACCAGATGGCCAAACCCTTTGATTTTTTGATGTTCTGTAAAATCTAACGCAAAACAAATCAGGGAAAGGGGAAATCCACAGGTCACGGGACATTCTTATATTTCAAGGGGTGGTAGATTGGCCGCATGCAGTCGTTGGACCAAGGCTGTATGCAGTCGTGGTACCTAAGCTGCACTCTTTCGTGTGATGTAGGTGGGTTGGGGTTAGGGCCAGATCTATAGGTTTTGGGGTCGTTAAAAGCATCAGAAAGCCGAGAAACCAGGTCTTACCACCCTCTAAAATATATGTTTAAAGGTTATAGGTTTACTGGAACAGTAACAGTTTTCTCAGTGCCCAGTTTTGAAAGGTTCAGATGTCTTAGTCACATCTGACAGATGGAGAATGGTACAGTCCCTAAGGAAATTCTCTGTGATGTACTACAGACAACCAGAAGACGACTTCTGATACGATATAAAGATGTTTGCAGACGAGACATGCATGATACAGGTGCTGGGGTCGATTCATGGATAGAGAATACCATATACCTTGTTGAATGGTGGGTAAAGTCTGAAAAGAAATAGGCATAAACGAGAATTTGACTGCAGATAGGTTAAGATCTGAGCGTCTGAGAAAAAATATATTAAATAGGTACAGGGGCAAAACATCCTTAGAATTCCTTGGACGGAAGGTTAAAAAAAAAAAAGCAGCAACCAAGATGTTTTGAAATTGGAGAAGGCTCGAAGACAATTTGTAACAAACATCAGAAAGAGGCAGTCGTAATTTTCTAGTCATATTATGAAAAAAAAAAAGTTTTGACCACTGGAAAGATCTGTGGAAAAAGAGACGGAGGAAGTCAACGCGGGAAGATTCTTGACAGCCTTTTGTCATGGCAGGGAGAGGAGTCGACACATGAAGTGATACTGCAGATCGCAGCTTGTGGAGAAGCATGATCGCCCACGCCAGTCAGCAAAGCACTTAATGATTATGAATAATAACAATGGTTCTGAAATCCTATGCTCAAATTTCGGAATTTTTGTTAACATGAGTGGGTCTTGCTAGTTACACTCGCCATCGCCATGGGTTGTGGTTCTCATACTTCCCTATAGCAAAGGATCCTTTTCGACTTCTTCAGGCGTATTGAGCATAAAGAGCTAGACATATTTTATAGACCTATCGGCACTTGGTGGATGATGTGGTCAGCATCACACCGAACGCCTTTACTTCCAACTACTACACCTGGTACCCACTCAAAGGCTGGGTCGACCTGGCAGCCAGGTCATTTTTGAAAAAAAGTCTGGCTCCGTCAGCACCCGAACCCACTACCTTTGGATCCGCAGGCAAGCATCTAGCCGCTACACCACATAATTCCCTATAGCACAATATAGTGCTATCATGAGGAAGAACTGAAAGTGCCGACAATCGTGACAGGACCCTGTGGTTACCCGACCGTTTTTGGTACAAAATACACCCTTACGAGTTCTACGATAATGGTAAATAAGTAAGTACATTTTACCCCACTAGGGCATCACCAGAAGGTAAGTTGCGTATCCTTTACAGGACGTTGCAGAACCAACCCCAGTAGCCCCTGACTGTTCTGGGGTTTCTCTAGGCAAATTTACGCCCAGTAGTTTGTCGTTGCTTACTGGACGGTCGGCTTCTTGATACCACTGTCGAAACCAACGCAAGGCGCATGGCCCGCAGCAAGGATCAAACCCGGCACCCCGGCATTACGAAGCGTTCGCATCGACTTAGCCACAGAGCCGACCAGGACATCACACAGAGCGATAAACACCCAGTGACACAAAGTGCCACCATGCGATTTTAAAGTTTTAAGGTTTTGAACAATGAATCAACATCATTTGCACACGGATAGTAACCCATAAGTACTCCGTTCTTCTTCTAACTCAAGTCTTGAGTCCGAAGAAGCTCAGCACAGTGCACATGCTCTGTATCATTGGCGAGGATCCTGAAATACTTTGGGTAGATTTTAAACTCTAAAATTTTCCCGGGCAGCGCCGTTAGGCTACTCTTTTCGATTTCCAACCTTCAAGGGATTGTTTTTTTTACGTGTGCAACAATGCACACAGGCGTCCAATCTCACTACCCAGAGACCAGGCAGAATTACTTGAGGTCTAAGTCCTTACCATAGATTGAATCCCGAACCTCTAGCACTCAAGGCGGACTCCATGCCCCTAGACCACGCAGCCCCCTCACCATGCCAATAAGGATCACCAGTGGAGAGGTACCGGAAACCCCCTTCAGCCGTTAGGCCACATTTAAGGCCCGGCTATATATTAGGGCCCCCCGACAAAAGCCAGGGTGGGGCTTCAAAATAACTACAAATTGCATCCCACAAGGGATGACGATTCAAACAATAATGGTGCCCAAATGACCTTCTAGAAAAAAGGTATATTGGAGTGCTTGCTATAGAATCAACTGAACAATGCTAATGGTAATTCTTGATATAACAATCAAGCATGTCTCATAGAAACTATGTTTTATGTGCTGTTTGTGGCAAACGCCCATAACATAGAGTGAATGAAAGGAAATCAATATGTTATTGGATTCAGCAGGTGATATTTTCTAATGACAATGGATCTTGTGGAGCGGACTACCAAGGGACGCAATAGCTGGCGACCAGTGTGCTTGAATTACGGCGGTTCCCATCCTTTATCAGATTGTCTCCCCTTCGTCGTCATCATTCTCATCGTCATTATCATCATCTTGTTGAGTTGGTAATATGGTAATAATGCATTACATAGGGCTCGCCTTACATTCCTATCTATCCTGTTCTATCATTTCGACATAGTGGATGAAAAACAGTAACGTCAGCCTCTTTTATCGAATAGAAGATGATGTCTTCTGGGGGATTGTGCCATGGAAGATGGTTTGCGGTAGAGTGCCAAATGCAAGGTGATGGTTTTTGGGAAAAGGGGGCCATGAAAAATGATGATTTATGGAAGAGTGGACCGTAGGAGATGATGGTTTATGGAAGAGTTCAACAGGGAAGATGATATATAGGTGATTAGACTAGGAAGATGGTTTTGGCAACAGGAGCCATGAGAGATGATGGTATATGAAAGGAGGGGTAGAGAGAGAGAGAGAGAGAGAGAGAGAGAGAGAGAGAGAGAGAGAGAGAGAGAGAGAGAGAGAGAGAGAGAGAGAGAGAGAGAGAGAGAGAGAGAGAGAGAGATGACAGACGTAAATGAACCATGTGGAAATAAAAACCCATGTGCCGTGGGGAATGGACAAAGAGGTTAGCGCTGTGGCGGAATAACAAATAGGAGATGCACCGTCAAACAGTGTCGACACCTGTGACTTTGTCGTTGCGAACGAACTTCGTAATGCTGGGGTGCCGGGTTCAATCCCAGTTGGGGACGGTTTGTCTTGCGTTGGTTTTTACAGTGGTACCAAGAGCTGACTGTTTAGGAAGAAATTGTAAATATAACTGAACGTAAAAATTTGCATAGAAAAATCGCAACAGCCTAAAAAAAATGCTGGGGTTGGTTCTGCAACGTCCTGTAATGGATACGCAACAAACTATAACCATTAGGCATGTGTCTTGGGAGAGGTATCGCCCAGTTTATGAATCACTGGTGCATGAAAGCGCTCTTGACTTCTTTGATATTAACGAAGTAACTTCACTCGTAGTGTACAGTCTAAATTCTATCACATAGTTTTTTTTTTTTTAAATCTGGGCTGTTTGTGTGTGTGGTGGTAGGCAACGGTTCGCAGTAGCGACACCTTTGTTTATGCATCTTTTTGTTCAGCGTTAACATCATTACAGTCTGGGAAGAATGACGGTGAAAGGAGTTACCAGGGAATCTGGTCGACGCTCAGAAGTCAAGGGAAAGGCGAGACGGATATACAATCAGACAGTCAGTGGTACCATCGGAAATAGAACTCTTCGCTTGCTGCTGAAGATGGGGACGGAGCGCTTGTTGCAGTGTCCCGAGTGCTTTGATGTCGATACTTAATTCAACATTCAACATTTGTTTCAGCATTGGATGCTGTGTAGTTAAAACCGGAACCTTTTTTTCAGGGAGGGGGAGGCAAAAAAAGGGAGAGGGTGGGGTGCCTATAAAAATCCATTTTTCTCTGAAGTATTTAATTTGTGCCGTAACAGTCTGAGAATCTGAATGAGTTGAAATAATCCAACTATAGGACAAAGAATTTTAAATAAGGTCCCATAGACCAAATGGTTGACCCCAGACTAATAAGGAAAGG